AAAAAAAAAAAATATTTTTTTTTTTTTTAAAAAAATTAAGATTAAAAATAATTATCTGTACTTGCATAAAAATATTTCCTTATTTACTTTAAATTAAAATCTGTTACCATTCATCACCCATAATTAATTAATGCCTTATGTTCTATGATGCACAAAACGCGCGAAAATTTAACTTAATAATAAAAAAAAATCTCCAAAATTTCCCTCACGACTTACACACGTAACATCACGCCACATACATTTGATTTCTACATTTAAACTTTATTAATATTAATTAGTTAATTAATTAATTTCTTTTTTTTTACTTACATTATAAATAATTATTAGGCTAATTTTTAACTAATTTTTATTTGGTTATTTTATTTTATTTTATTTTTTTTTTTTCTCCACGAAAATCTTTATTAGGATCTACAATCATTTCTCGTATAAGCGTCCGTGCATATTTTTCATAGGGTATATATAAAAAAAAAATATAATATATATAATAAGAGATAAATGATAATATGATAAAAAAAAAAAAAAAAAATTTTTTTTTTTTTTTTTTTTTTTTTCTCATTGTCTCTATATTTTTTTTTTCGTCTATTTTTCTGGTAAAATTTTTTGGTATGTGGCTTCATGTTGTATTCCAAACAGATTAACGAAAACAATGACATGTTTAGATTTTTAGTAAAACATATAAGGAATGTCATAAGGTATGCAAATTTTTAATAAAAAAAGCCGACTTGCATAATTCATTCATTATCAAATTATTTCATTCGCGAGAATAATCATTATGTTATATTATTATTTACTTAATGATCACATACTTGAAACTTACAAGAAACCTAACCTAAAAATCATATGTTATGATGTCAATATTATTTTAATAAGCTTCAAATATTCGGTTTTTTTTTTTTTAAATACGCCGTAGCGCGTCGTCTACTTATTTAAGTTAATACGCCATAAAAATAAAATAAGATAAAAATATCAAATCTATCAAATCTATCAAATCTTTTTTCTTCCGCGCTTTTTTTTTTTTTAAAAAAAAACATTTTGGAAATCATTGTTTAATGTTTATTAAAAAAAAAAATAATTTTTTTATTTTTTTAAAGGAAATCCATTGTCTCCTTTCTATTAGATACTTTACAGGCAAAATTCATGAAAATTCGTGTCACGATAAATATTAATAATGTTGTGGTACTAAATTAATTAATCGTGTTTCTATCCAGTATTTGAACTTGTTTTCGTAAACACGGACCATTCGATGTTTCCTTTTATGGTAAATTACGATTAATTTTTTATCACTTTTTTTAGGGGTATTTAATATATTATAAGAATTTGGAAAGAATGAAAGAGCATTATTTTTTGTAAAACATTAAATAAATGCGCGTATCTGAAACAAGCATAAACAAATTACCCGTTAAATTAAATTCCAAAGGACGATGGCGTAATCTTTTTAACGAACGCGTGATTAGATTGTTGATGATGATTGATGATTATTGATGATCTACATTAAAATGATATTGGTCATTGAGTGTCATGAGTGTCATAAAGTGTCATGAGTGTTGGTTTTTTTTTTTTTTTTTTTGCGCGAGAAATAATAAAAAATAAAATAAAATAAATAAATAAATAAATTAAATAAAAGACAATTTATTTTTCACTTTAGATAAAATTCAATATTCCTTATTTTTCAAGTTATAAATTATTAAAAATATCAAAAATAGTAATTATAATCTTTTTTAAAATATTTATTTTAAAAAATAAAAATTTTTTTATTAAAAGATTACATTATTTTTTTTAAAAAAAAATGATTAGTAAATAATTGATATGATAATATTTTTATATATTAAATTTAGAAAAATGAAAAATTATAAATAAAAAATAAATTTTTATATAAAAAAAAACTTTTTTTTATTTTTTATAAAATAATAGTTTAAGCAATAGCAAAAATAATTTTAAGAATTTTTCTAACTATCACCAAGGTAATGTAAAAT